GCTAACGTGGGGGCCCTGCCCGCGCTAACGTGGGGGCCCTGCCCGCGCTAACGTGGGGGCCCTGCCCGCGCTAACGTGGGGGCCCTGCCTATACTTAAGCATGATTATGCTGTTGACCGAACTGGACAGTAATCAAAGCATACCAAATTTGATGGCTTGGGGCCAAAATATGCCTGTTTCATGTGGCATCTGAGAATTTGTTCCCAATGCAGCAGTCATTGCAGAATGTACACACCTGTGTTCCAGTGCCTGGTGGTGTAGAAACGTGCTATAGCTGCTGCGAGGGGGCCATCGGGACCCCGGGCTGTCAGGTATTCAAGGTAGTTCAGCGCTCTGCGAGTAACCTGCCTTAAGGTTCTCTCTGTGCTGTTAATTCCTTGACGTTCCCTTGTGCCGTTGCAGCTGCATGTGCATGATGCGGTCAGCATGGATGGCTTCGTGAGCAGCTCTCCCAGAACCCCCACAGAGATTGGGAGCCCGGGTGTTTTTGCATTGAACTGTGACGTGGTGAGTATCGCTACTTCAGCTTCTTTCCATGAAGGTCATAGGTCACGTTTGCGAGGAGCATCTTTAGGGAACCCTTATCTAGGAACCTTAGGAAATCAGACATTTAAAAAAAGGCTTTCTGTTCTGGCAATTGGCAGAGCTTGCAGTCCTTTGCAATCCACCTCTGCCCTCCATTGATACTAATCGGGTGTCGTTAACCCTTTAACTTTTAGTGCTTTTCGCAGGAGTTTTGTAGTTCAGACTTTAACAATTTGCTATGAAGTGCTACATCAAATGCCTGTACATCCAGTTCATGTTCCAGGAGCACGGCTGCTCACAATGAACTTGAAAGTGAATGTCTCTGCATTTTTTTTTTTGCTTTTGTTTGTTTTGGAGATGCATCGATTTTGCAATTTGTGAAAATGCGTGGGACTAGCCGATACTGATTTTTGCTGATTCAGGTTTTCTTTCCAATAACTATAATTGACAGTATATACAAATAAAAAAAAATTTAAAAAAAATGCAAAATTTTATTTTCATGATAAAAGAAATTGTTGAACTTTACAATTTTACAATTTCCCCCAAACATCTCTAAGTTACAGGATCTCTAACGTAAAGAAGTCTCATAATAAAGTGCTCTGTGACTGGAAAGAGGTACAAAAAAATTAACTGAAAAAGTTAATTGGTGCAACAGATTTAAATAACAAAACAAACGTCAGTTACTTGTTTTATTTTCCAGTATGTTTAAATTCACCAGATAACACAACATTCTTTTTTCTTTTTTTTAAATCTTTAATACTCATCTTAAAGCTCAATAGGTTACCTTCAGATAGCTGGAAGAGAATAGTACACTTCAGTTAATACGTGCAGGGTAATATTAATACCAACATCGCATCTTATGCACATACAGTTCTTACATTGCTAGTGAGCTAGATTAAGATCAGGCTTTTTCATACCTTCATACTATACTGACTATAGCACAGGGCATTAGAGTAAAAATGTTTTAGCGAAACTATCATAGGAAAAAAACCTTAATGATTATTCCTTTTCAACATTACCTAGTATATGTTTTAATAATCAGTTTAAAGTTCACCTCTGAAGTTTCACCACATTTTCACAGTGGTTCCCTCACGGTTTACTTTGGCTTTACATGTGTTACAAATTAGTCTTTGTGTCGCCTTCCCTCACAGTGAGGAACTTCCTCACGAACGACATGTTAGCGTGTGGCTGTGGGTGTGCTCGCGGCTGTGGGTGTGCTTATGACGTGGTGTATGTGTTAAACGGAATGGTTTAGTACCAGAAATGAATGAGACTGATTGGCCGGTCTCTGGTCTGGGCCAAACATGCTGAAAATTGTCCGATTCCGGTCGCTGGCCAATCGATCGGTACATCTCTGGTTTGTTTGTATTTACCCATGCGGCATACTCTGCCTAATTGGCATTATCTGACCTTTCATAGTGCTACACCTCCCAAGGTCTGGAACTGCTCAGGGTAACTGTGGTCAGCTCAAACCTGCAGGTGATCTATGATGCCTTTGTTAAACCTGACAACGAGGTCATTGACTATAACACCAGGTACAATTCATTCAGAGGTTTTTACTAATAAGCACATAGTCACTGGATTAATCCAGACCTGTTAAGTGAGGTGTCCACAGGTTTTCTGGAATAAGTGAGGAGGATGTGTCCAGTGCCAGCCTGCCTCTTCGGGATGTTCAAAGTGTACTGCTCAGCTTTATCAGTGCTGACACCATCCTGATTGGCCACAGCTTGGAGAATGATCTCTGTGCACTCAAGGTGAGTGTGGAAGTGCTTTAATGTGCTAACTTGGGTTTTGGATGTTTGGAGTTGCCACTTACCACTGCCTGTTGTCATTTGGTATGTCTTTCATAGACTTTTCACTTGTGACATTGCCACTGGCTGTGCTTTTGGCTCATTGACCACACTGCTGTCGTGACTCGGCCACTGGCTGTGCTTTTGGCTCATTGACCACACTGCTGTCGTGACTCGGCCACTGGCTGTGCTTTTGGCTCATTCACCACACTGCTGTCGTGACTCNGCCACTGGCTGTGCTTTTGGCTCATTCACCACACTGCTGTCGTGACTCTGCCACTGGCTGTGCTTTTAGCTTATTCACCACACCGCAGTGGACACTGCTGTGGTTTTCCCTCATCGGCTGGGGCATCCCCATAAAAGACAACTCTGCAGCTTGGTTGCAGACCATCTCCGTCGAATCATTCAGGAGAGTGGTAGGTTCACATTGCTTAAGTTTCATAAAACCACCCCCCAAGCTTTAAATATTAAGTTTATGAGATGAGATTTAAAAATTTTAATATTAATATATTTGAGTTTGTAACGCTTATTAAAACACTCCAGTGTATATTCATTTGTTCTTGATGCTGATACAAGTTTTGCTTGATCCATCTGGTCTTCAAACATTTATGTACGCAGCACATGCAGTGATGCTCATTCCACATGCTGTGTGATAAACCATCACGAAGCTAACCTCACATCAAGTATTAGTAACAGGTATTACTAGCATGCTTGTAGTAACTAAACTAGACACAGTACAAACTAAAGCTGGCATTAGTTTAGGATGTTAGTTGGATGGCATTTTAAATAAAGCACACAAGATCACAATGCACACCTAAACAAAGGGGTGTTGAGGAAATATTTTAATGTTAGAGGTACTTCCTGGTGCTAGGCGCTCTTTATGCCAGCTGTCCATGCAGAAAGCTATTTGAGCCAGCAGATCCTGTTCTCCTGAGCAGCTTCTCTTGCAGTCGGTGGCCATGACTCTGTAGAAGATGCTACGGCCTGCATGGAGCTGATGCTGTGGAAAGTGAAGGAGGACTCTAAAGTGAAGAGGTGGTGACTGGAATAAAGTCTCCATTATAAACCTCCCTCCATGTATTCCAGAGCCATGGCATTAAACTAAGAGTCGTCTTTCTGTTTAGAGGGGCATCCTGAACAACTGTCAGTTATCCAATGGGCTTTATTTTTGTTTGATGGTTTTATTTTCTTGTCCTTTTGTTCAAGTTTTCCTCCTTTTTTGGCATCCCTAATTGTCTATTTGTGCCCTTTGAAAGGGCTAATATGTATCTAGGCATTAACTCACTAGAAATTAATTCTTTATATGTACCTCTCCTGGGACTGAAGGAAAGTAAAAGCATACAAAACAACTGCAGACTTGAGCTGTTTTTTGACACGTGCCTGACAGATTATGAACCTGCTCTTGTATTTCAAGGCCTGCACTGGCGATTACATTGGATGACAATTTTTTTTCAAGACATTTGCTGCTTAAAAATTGGTTATTTCAGCTTTACTGTATAACATAGGAATTTGAAGAAACATTAACTTTTGACTATATTATGTTTAATTACATGATAATGCTGATACGTTGTGTTAGTTCAGCTGCACTGTTTTGCCACTGTTTATCTATACTCCATGCTTCTTATGCCAGTCTCCAACAATAGTCGACCAGCATTGATGGGTTCCAATTAGCCTGATACTGTTTCTCACTGGTCACAATAACCTGGCGAAACCTTTCACTATATGCTTGTCACTAACTACACCAAGATCAGCCATTGTTGCGGGTCATGCACACAAACCAAAGCCATGATCTGAGATTACAGCCTACTTGAAGTTTGTGAAATGTTCTGAAACAGAAATTTCCATTCCCTGTGATGGCAGATCCTAACCTTTTGCTTTTGACAAGCCTCAAAGATCTCTGACCTATGGCCTGTACTACAAGCGGGGTTACTGGCTTATTGTGGTAAGTTGTCAGATTTAACGTAGTCTGGGCAAAATGTAAGAACAAATATGAAGTCCATTTAAACTGTGGTACCTTAAATCTGACAAGTTACCCCAATAAGCCAGTAACCCCGCTTCGTAGTACAGGCCACAGGTCTCTTAATTCTGACTGTTATCGGAAATGAATAGCCTGGCATAAACAGTTCAACACCTGGATCAATGATATTTTCTACATTGTGTTACGATCTTCCTCTGCTTCACCTAAACTGGTTCTGGCAAACTGTCATCATGCAGCACTGCTCTCATGGCTGAAGGCAGATTGGGGAATTCAACAGATGTAGAGAAGCCAGATACACGGGTTGGGTAGCATAACAGTCCGTCACCTGAACCTTCTGTTTTCGCCCTAGTATTGGCGCTGCAAATGGCATTGACTCGCGAGTACCTCTGAGTTGAGCTCAGCTCAGTTGCATGTGTTGCAAAACAAATGCGAGGAGCCCTGGGTCTGTCTGTGTCACTAGTTTTATAACTGAAGTAGAGCTCATAGCTTTCTGTATAAGTGCAGCCATGCTGTCTTTGAGCCTTCAGCATATAATAACACTGCACAACGAAGATTTTGCTTCCTGAACACTGGTGGGTGTTCCTTATAGATTTGTGGCTGCTGATCACAAAAAATCACATCCAAATTTGGCCGTCATGTACTGTTTCATCAAATTCTCCAGTTTTGTCATGTATTTTTCATATATTTGTGTCCAAAATTTTCAGTTTCTGCAAGAGACCTATCAACAATGTTTTGTACAGTCTGGGCATGTCCAGGCATGGAACCAGGCCAGGTTGCAAGCTGTTCTGTGGAGATTTACAGCCTGGCCATGCCTGGGCTGGCCGGAGCCAGCTTGACACTGCCTCAGCAGGCTATAAAAGCGGCTTGCATACACAGATGCTGCTCAATGGGTCAATATAGACCTGATAGTGCGTAAATATTGTTTCAGAATATAGCATTGCCTCAGTAGCAATATAACATGTAAGCTAGATGCTATAGACGTTTGCTGGATGATTGGTATCAGTCAATGTCTCATCAATGTCATTACAAAATCAAGAGCAAAACACTTCTAATTATGTTGAGCTTAATAGCATATGAGAAACATAAATGCTAATAAATGTTATTGCTGATAAACACTTAGGAACTCTGAGAAATAGACACTTATGTGATGCAGCAAAACCAAAACTATATTTGTGCATACCCACCAGGTACCTGTCAAAATCAGCAAAAACTTTCCAGGAAGCAAAACATTTAAAAAATATTGTGCAGTGTAATTGATACTTTATCCTTCCCCCTACTTGTTTTTCATAGAGTAAACTGGCTGTGAAGGGCAGCCACCTGTTGTGGTTCCCAGGGAGCTGGGGGTTAAGGGCCTTGCTCAAGGACCTGCAGATGTGCTGAGGCTGGGTTTGAACTGGTGACCTTCTGATTACAGGCTTAGCCCACTGAGCCACATGCTGCCCCCCCCTTTGCAACAAATGTAGCAGAATATAACACAGCTGTAAATGCCACTGTTAAGTGCACTCGCTATACTGTTGCCTGAAGAACATTCACTTCGATATGCGTTCAAACTGTATTAATGTAATGCAAAGCATCTGTACACGTAACCTACGAGTACAGCCTGTCTCCCAGCATCTAACCTGATCACGCATTCACAAGCATGTCTAAAACAGCATTTGTACAGCACATATACAGAGTGCATACCCAGGCATGCTTGGGTTAACCAAAACAGCTTGCTTTGTTTGCAATATCATAGTATAAATATAAATATGTCAAGAAATCACACAAATAGGGCATATCTACAAAACGGTACATGATAGAAAAATTTAAAGGTTATTTTTGTGGTTAGCAGCCCAAAATCCATAAAATACATCCAATACTGGTCAGGAAGCAAAATCTTTATTGTCCAGGGTTATGAGACGATAGCTGCTCTTGTTAAATGTTCCTCTGTACAGCTGAAGGTGTAAATGGTGCAAATGAGCAAACAGCTTAACTGTTTTGTCGTGAATATATAAATATCCCATAATTATTACAGTATTATATTCTCAGCATGCCGCACGGCCCCTGCTGCAACCTGTTTACAGGCTGATATTTGGGAATGTTACAGGTTGTGCGTGAGGACAGGTCCCTGTGCCTCTGGCTGTCGTCCTTTCTACTGACTGCTGGAGCTGGAGTGTCCAGGAACCAGCTACATAATAATAATAATAATAATAATAATTGATACTTTATTGATCCCCGTGGGGAAATTGTCTTTACACCTCCCTCAACTTGCTCTATGTAGAGTAAGCTGTCCGCGAAGGGCAGCCACCCATAGCGGCGCTCAGGGAGCTGGGGGTTAAGGGCCTGGGGCTCAAGAAGCCGCAGACGTGCTGAGGCTGGGTGAGTCTATTTATTGGCGTAGACTTACAAATTCAGATTCTTTATTTTGTATTTTGTGTATTTCTTATTTGAATTACTGATGCAGTTGACACTGTGACTCTATACTGGGTAAGAGGTTAGTTGGATGGAACATGAAATTACAGCACTTACTCAAATAATCTTATGATACTGTAATTGTTAATCTTGGTGTTACATTCAGAATGTCCTGAATATTTTGTCAGTCAGTCAGCTTGTTTCCAGCTTGAAGCTAGTAAGGCTTCCCTTGTAATCTTAAAGCGGTCCCCACTGATGGGATGCCAGTACTTCATTGGCAGATATGCACTCACAAATTTTGAGATGCCAATTAACTGTGTATCTTTGAACTGTGGGAGGAGACTGGAATACAGCACCTAGTGGAAAATCACATAACACAAGAAGACACAAGGGTAGGTGAGATTCAAGACCCCAAGTTATAAAAATTATACAATATGAACAGCAGCACATGGGTATACATGTATATGTATGTGCATATTTATCTTCACCTGTGCACTATGTTCTTGCTGCTATATACACCAGAATTTCCCCCTGGGATCAAAAAAGTAATAATCGTAATCTTACACATACACATTATACATACATATTATATTCTGACCAATATAACCGGTCCGAAGTAGACGCCAGAAGTTCGTTGGTGGTCATGTGACAAGGACCACCGACAGCGGGTTTCCGGGTACATCACATGACCAAGGTGTCGTTTCCTTGAAGCCGAGCGGTGTTGTGGGACCACGTGACACGAGTGTCAGTGTGTCTATGGAAAAGGAACAGGTAAAACCGAACTCAACAGTGTCTGTATTGTCGCCGCGAGTTTGGTCGGCTTGTTTCCCTATTCTGTTTGCGGATTTAGGGGACTAATTTTTTGTTCAGACCCGATTAGGAGGTCGTATTTAGACCGCTTAGTCAAATTGAACGCTGTATTTCAGGCCTCTAACCGGGTTTCTGGTCAGTATATCAAGTCTTATTTTTTTTCGTTATTTGGGGCCTAGAGGCCTGACGAGAGCCCCGGTGTCAAGTACATCGGTGATGTCGTGGTGGTGTTTCCAGGACGAACTGAACTGTGCAGCGATGCTTAGTTAGTGAAACAATGTGGCGACGAATGTCTTCTCGTTTGTAAATTTCTTATGTAAGATGTGTTTTGTCACGAACGTGTTTATAGCTGCATGGTGATGTGTTTGTCACAGCTGGGCTGCTGGTGGCGCTCATCGGGCTTGTTGCTGTATCTGTATTACCAGAGAGGCACAAGAACAAGCAACATAAAATCTAAGATCTGCAGCGTCGCCCGCGGATTGTCGGAATCCGCGGAAACTGTGTTTTTATGACACTGGATATTACGGTGTCAAAATGTAAATGATCAAATAAAGTTACGTTCATTTGCCTGTTTTTTTATATAAGTGGCTAATGGGTCTAACTTATCTGAATGTATTTTTAAAGTTTATTTTGATTTAACTACATTTCCCCCTTCAATTGTTTGCCAGGTTCATTAAGAGTAGAAATTAGTAGCAAATTCATAACCTATCTGACATAGTCTGCTACAGTTGTCTGACACATTGTCATATTATGGCTACAATAACATAAGTAAGGTTAGCCAAATTCATCTACCTGCAGTGTTTTATACCAGTTTTGTGTCCAAGTCTTTACTGAGTGCAGGAGACCTCTTGGCATAACCTGTATATTTCTTTTGGCTGATTTCTGGATATCCCTCATTGGTTATCTGCTCTATTTATATTGCTTACTATGTCATAATAAGCATAGGGAGATGTTTAAAACTAATCCTTTCCCTGTCCTACAGTTAATCATTGAGATTTTAATGGTTAACACAGAGTGAGAATTAGTAGAGTTTAAATACGCACATGCTTGCATACATCAACAATTTGTGATTCATGTCAGCTGTGTTTAAAGAATATTAATAAAATTTTAACGACCTGTTGAGCATCTCTGTTGTCTTCAAGACTGCAACAATCGTGACCGGGTATAATTCAAGATTTTATATGTAATGTTAATACTATGTGATTTATAAGTAAATTTGGTTAAATGTCAAAACATCTTTTGTTTGCCATTTGCTGTGCATGTTTTTTTGTTTTTGCTACTTATGAATAGTATGGAGATTGGCCCGTGTGTAAGTGTCCCAAATTGTCCCTTGCAGGTGTTTTTTGTTTCTTTTGTAAATATTGTCATTTGTATATACTGTAAATGATGACGTCGGTGGGACACAGCCAAGCTCGAACCAGCTTGGAGGCGACACCGAGCCAGGCACAGACCAAGCAGAGGCCTCAGGTAATGCTGATGGGCCCGGAGCCAGCACCTTTACATGGAACCCATGAGCACTGCCTAAATGACACCCAGGCATTTCCTTTACATTAAATATGTTTATTTAGGAGATACTTTTGTTCCAAAGCAACATGCAGGTAAGGTATACTGACATCTCCCATCTGTAATCACATTCCTGGACTAATGTGACATTTCTTCAGATGAGCTGTTTACTTGGAAGGGCACTGGTTTGAATCCCATGCCTAGCAGAGTGATCGTATCATTGTTGGGCCCTTGAGTAAAACCCTTATCCACGAAAACTGCTCCAGGGCCACCAGAAAGATGGGTGACCCCAGGCTCCTCTCTCACCATCTTGCCTGTGTGTGTCATAGGACAGTGAGATGGGATTTGCAGAAATGTACAAATGGCAAATATTATATGTGCTTTTATATGAGAGTATATGTAAAATAACTTCACTTACTGAGATGTGCACGCCATGACCTGAGGAATTTCTTATTTAGGGTTTGTGTTTGAGAGTTGAAAATGAAACCGATCTGGACCGTCCCCCAAACTTCATGCACATTTTTGTGGGGTTTTTAATGGCATCATCTCCAAACAGTTAATTTCTCATGACCCAAACCTACCAGCAGTAAAAGGAAAAAGTGCCTTGAGCTGTTAAAGCTCTTAAAGTCTCCTGTGAAGAGCGCTTGTGCAGTGTGTCAGAGCTGACTGCCCTCTTCCTCCCAGGCCACAGCTGAGCAGATCCGTCTGGCTCAGATGATTTCTGACTGCAGTGACACAGACTTTGAGGAGAAGGTGAAGCAGGTACTGTCCAGTCCCATGGCATTCTGAAAAAGATATGAGGCCCTTTGCCTCAGTGTCGGAACAAAGGCTACAGCCCGGTTTGAGCAACATTAATGTACTCCCAATGGCAGAAAAATGTTCCTCAGAGTCCATTTCTATACCTTAAAAGTTAGTTACCTGCAGCGATGCTGACATGCAAATAATAGATAACAGGCTGCCACTGTGCTCATCTGATGCAGCCTTATTCAGTTTTGTCCTTTTGGCAGTTGGTGGACATCACAGGCAAGAACCAGGATGAATCCATGATCGCGTTGCACGACTGCAATGGTGATGTGAACAGAGCCATCAACGTGCTGTTTGAAGGCAGCCTGGACACTGTAAGTCTTAGCTAGGGGGTGGGGTCAGTCGGACGGTCCTGCAAGAGAGCTTCCAGGCATGCAGTGTGTGGTCATGCAGTGAGAAGAGCGGCTTGAGATTGGCTGATGAAGGGTCTGAAGGACCTGCTCGAGGAAGGAGTATTAAGTATTAAGATCTGACAGCTGATACAGTTGCATGCTTCTAATGGTACACAGCTAGGATAGCTGTTTTGGACTCTGGTGGGTCAGAGATGTGAGACTGGGGTTTTGTGCAGATGTCACAGATTATTGTGCAGATGCAAGAGATGAAGATTCTAATGTCTTTTGTTTTATTTACAATCAGCTGCTGTCTTTGTCTTACTGCTGCCTCATACCTCAGGATTCATGGGAAATGGTGGGCAAGAAGAAAAGTGTATCTGGGCAGAAGGAGATTGTGCAAGCCGAGGAAAATGGGAAGGAGAACCGGGATCACGGAGAAGAGAAGGAAACGGCTCGCCGTCGGGGCGCGCCATCCCGTCGTGGCCGGGGTGCCAGTCGGGGGCGAGGAGGTAAGGGAGGGAGAGAGAGAAAGGTGGGCATGAGTCTGTGCCACTTGCTCTGTCCTGACAGGCCCATCTGGCGCATGCACTGTGGTCATTACATGATACAGCAATTGCTAGAGTGTAGACTGCTGAACCCAGACAGCCTGGGTTCATAGTACATGGCGGCTTTAGTAGGATGTCTATCTGTCCACCATAACCTTTTCTCTGCGCTACTCTGGACACGTTTTGTGCCTTCCTGCATACTGCCCTGCCTCATCTTCCTCTTTCTCTGCCGTCCCTTAGGCCATGCTCAGGAGAACGGGCTGGATGGCAGCAAGGGCACCGGGGCGGAACACGGGCGCCGGGGAAAGAATCGGGGCAGAGGTGGGATACCAGCAGAGCAGCAAGCTGCTTCATTTACTGCACCTTCTCCTTAAGTGATGTGGGCAGGACGGTCTCTAGGAGCTGATGTTTGCTCTCGCCTCTTCTTCCCCCAGGGGGCCCTGGCAGGCGTGGGGGCAGGTTTTCGGCGCTGGCTATGGGGTAAGCCTGCGGTCCAGCTGTGCACGCTCCCCTCCCCAAAGAGCAGCAGCTGCACCCATGCAGTAAGCGCCGATGTTGTGGGAAAGCTCACGCTGATGCAGTGCACACGTGTCCTCCTGGGGAGTTCAGGCCTGTGTCCTCCTGGGGAGTTCAGGCCTGTGTCCTCCTGGGGAGTTCAGGCCTGTGTCCTCCTGGGGAGTTCAGGCCTGTGTCCTCCTGGGGAGTTCAGGC